GGGGAGCGAGGGATGTGGCTCTAAATATACTAAATGTAAATATTAACAAGTATGAACAACGCCAGTGCAACCAGTTAGCAGAGAGAATCCTTTTCAGTGTGGTAGTGTTGGCAAGATCTTCCTCTTATTTTTCTTCACACCACTGGTTCTCTTTGCGTACCTGCGGAAGAGAGGGACAAATTAATCATCCACAAAGGTGTGGAATGCAACTTTGTGATCACCATTGTAATCCCATCCGCAACATCCAAGTGATTTCTCGTTGCTTATGAAAGCCTTTTGTTTTCTGACAGACAGCTGATGGGTTGGAATAAGTACCTGGGCTTCCTCCTCCTCTGTGAAATCATTTTTGATGTTGAAAGTCTTCCTGATCTCCTCTGGGGTTTTGCCTTTGATCATGTTGGCCACCGTCTTGCAGGTGACATCTAACAGGCCTTTGATGTCCAAATAGTTGGCGGCCTAAACAGAAAACACGGAGATATGAATGAGGAGCTGCAGGAGGGAGGGAAGCGGTGAAAGAGCACACAAGGACAACTGATACCTCAACAACACTTAGATCTCAGAACCCAACAAAGCATATTGTGTTTTGGATTTGTTATTTACACCTGAATAAAGTAAAAAGCGTAGTTTGAATTACCAATCAGTCTGATGAGGGATGATAGTTATCCCTGAAAAGCATTCAATTCAAGCATACAATTTATTTAATAATAATAAAAAATAAAAAATAAATAAAAAAAACCCACACACACCACACGACACTCCTTTCCCATGATCCTTAAGTAAATTACCCTGTAGAAACCATTTAGCCTTACATATGCTGACCAGTGATCGCTTAATAAGACTTCTGTATTGATTTTCATAAGGCACAGGAGCAGCTGCTGTGCTCTTCTGAACCCCTTCCTCTCAGCCTTTGTGCTTGTAAACATATTCAAGTCACGGGGGGTGGGGTCAACTCAGGTTACTGACGCAGGACCATCGCTTTCATTTCCACGAAGCTACAGACACACCACCCATTTATCCATCTCTTCCAGGCATTGCTAAGGTTACATTTTACATGAACCCCAACATCACTACATGTTGTTTCACACATTGAGAAAGGTGGAGGGGATTTTTTTTTTTTTAAAAAAATGAATAAATGAGTCTTTCCAAATCCCTCCCTCTTCTAAACACAGTTGCCCAAACCATCAGACCTCCAGCTGTTGCTAAGCAACATTTGTGTCTTGTTTGAACTGGCCACTGAGCGAAATAAATAAAGTATAAGAAATCATTTTTCTAAGAAAGATTAAGCATATTAAAAGGACTACAAGAGAAAATAAACACTATATACACAAAGGTGCATAAAAGTGATTACTATTTTTTTTAAAAAAAAGAAAAGAAAAAAAAAAGCCACTATATATCGACTCCAGCTGCTGACTCTGGATCAGCACCCCAGAGAGCCAGACCACTTCCATTTAAACCAATTCTGCTACAGCCAGTAGGATATTTCACAGACCTGTGACAGGTCCTTGTAGATTCCAGTAGATTTTGCCAACTGAAGTTTGAATACATAAAGAAAAATAAATGCCATTTCCACAGCTCAACTATATGAATGCACGCTGCTCTCCCTCTCTCTCACAAAGACTACTTGGAGTGGTAAAGATATCTGAGCATATTAAGGCAACATTTAGCCCACAGTGTTATCTTTACATCTAATATTACCAGTCTGTGACCCACCAAGGCTGGTGATGTAACAGCAGATTTTATAGAGGATTCAACTGGCCTAAAATTCTCAGCATGAGACAACTATACAACGAAGCTACAACACTATAAATGCATTAATTCACATAAGTATTTGGACTTCTCAGTGTAAAGCACAACCTTAACATTTAAAACCTCAAGCAAAAAAAAATGTCAAGACTTTCGAGACTTTTGTTTAGCAGAAGAAGAAAAAAAACCACACCCAGAGTGCATGAGAAAAGCTTTTGCCTCCTGTGGTCAATACAAACAAATGTGGAATAATTCCCTTAATTGTAACGCACAACATCAACTTTCCTTCTCCATGATTCCTTGAGATTTAGACCCCCACCAACCAC